TTTTTTTTTTCCCCTGCACATCAGTCTTGGCTACCTGCAATCAAAGGTCACCTCGTGGACAGCATCAATTTTCACTTTCATGGATGGCTTAGCACTTAACAAAAACCACTTAATTTGCTCAGCAGCTGTGAGGTCCCAGTTGAAATTGCCATTTCCTAAACATTTTTCCTTCCTAACTGCCATATGATTAATCACAGATATGGAGTGTCTCTTTGTTCCAGGCGACTTATTTTTTCCCTCTTTGCTTGCCTTTTAAGCTCCTGTGAAGGTGTTGATTGTTGTTTCCTCATTTTCTCTCCCAACAAAGGCCAATATGTCTTCAGTTCTACTGTAGGGCATTCCAAGCTTATGACCACAGAGGGCACAGAGGCAGGAGACAGGGTGAATGAAAAGTGTAGAAAAAAAAATTCTAAATAATGTGGTTCAGCTTTAAATAATAATAAAAGGTCCACTAGATAGAATGCCAGTAATTCAGAAACTTGCAGTAATTCAAGCTAGCAAGGTTCAAAGTTTACATTGGATGAAATTAATAGGGTTGGGCACATTAATAGAACTAATAAAGGAATGGAACCTCAAGAGCACTCTTTTGGTCATCAGCTAAAGAATTATTATCAATGTACGGGTATTTCCTATTCATTACAAATGACTCTCTTTGATGAAGGGTGGAAACCTGCTTTGGACCCTTTGTTTCAGTTAGTTTGGAATTACAGTATTACTTCAAATAAATAGTTTTATTTCGCTTCAAAACCTATAACCCAAACTTGCCACTGTGTGGCCTAGCACCTGGATGGCCTGAGTGAATCACATTTGATTAATTGAGGCTTCGATTTTCTTCTGGAAGCCTCAAAAGATGAGCTGGATGGTCTTCTGGGTTCTAGCCCAGTATTTCTACAAAATGGGTGACTTACCCACATCTCTCATCTGAATTGGACTTTGCTATGTCCTCTACTGCTTGCTATAGCCCCTTCATTCTAAGAGGTAGTGACTGTGTTGTCTGGCTTGGTCTGTTTGCTTTGAAAAGGCTTTCCAGTGTCAGACAATAGTAGAACCATCTAGACATGGTCTGGGGGGTGGGGGACAGAAACTGCGGCATCTGCAGTTTTGCAGTGCTGCCCCCATCAGCTTTAAAAGCCTCCAGAGATTCGGTGGACTTGCTGGTGAGAGTAGAAGAAGAGATCTGACAACAGAAAGCTATTTCCCACCCCTTGAGACCTTAAGGCTTAGGTGTGGCTCACAACCTCACCTGCCATACTGAAGGCCTGAAGCCACAGGAGTGTCCTCTGGTTGTTCTCTCCAACAATTTTAGCAATACTGACCAAGGTAAAAGAAGCTCTGGTGGTACAGTGGTTCAAGCACTGGGCTGATAACCAAAAGGTCGGCAGTTTAAACCCACCAGCTGCTCCCCAGGAGAAAGATGAAACAGTCTGCTTCCATAAAGATTTACAGCCTTGAAAACCCTAAGGTGCAGTTCTGCTCTGTCCTATAGGGTCACTAGGAGTCAGAAGTGACTCAATGCCAGTGGGTTTGGTTTGGTTTAGCTTTGATCAAGGAAAAGAGCCTTCCTTTCCCTGGTGAGATTGAGCCATTGTTTTCTTGCCCTCTCACCCGCCCCTCCCCTTTCACTGCAGTATTGGTAGTCTGTTCTCTTTCTTCTGCTTCAGAGATGACTGGGAGGCCCATTTTACTTTGTAAGTTTGCAACCTTTTAAGAGGCTGAGGAAGGCGCTATTAAAGTCATGTTTTCCCTGCCCCAGAGAACAGGCAGTCTGTTTGAGGAGGGGAAGTTTATTACATTTTTGAAAGGGTAGCAAATTATTCAAGGTGACATAGTGAATGCACAGTGGAGTAAGAGCGAGTCTGAGTCAGGCAAGAGGAGAGATTGTAAAGAGCTTATTGTCTTCAGAAGCCAGATGTAGCCTCTCCTTGAGCTGAAGCCTTTTCCATTCCTGACCCAGGGTGGTTCTGGTTCCTGCATGGCCACTTTACTGCCATTAGTGCCCAAGCTCTGCCAAGGATGTCTAAGGATATTTTTGGAGGGTATTCAAGGGTCCGGCCCTGTACTGTTATTGGTCTTAGAAAGCTGAAGCTTTCCTTGAAAGACATTGCTGAGCAATCAAGATCACTGTTGGTTAATACTCTCCAGGGAGATGCGCCCAAGTCTGGTCTCTTCTCTTCAATATGAGATAGGAGTACAACCTAATTAAATAGCAGGAAGGGTCTTGTCCCTTGGGGACTGTGGGTGGCAGTGGCTTCATATAAATCTATTACTTGATATATCCGTGACTGAAATTAGAATTCAAGAAAAAAAGCTGTTTTGTCATTAAAAAAAAAAAAAAAAAAAAACCTCTTCCATCTGTTTTGTTTTCTACGCCTCTCTATCCTCACTGGATTTCTGTCACCCTGGCTACCATGAGAACACCTTTACAGAAATAAAATTAAACTATTAGTTTTCTGGTGGTGTAGTGCCTAAGGCATTTGACTGCTAACCAGAAGGCTGGAGGTTCACACCCAGCAGCCACAAGACTGGGCAATCTACTTTCATAGTGATACTGCCTCAGAAACCCAAGGAGGGGTCGCTTTGATGGCAGTGAGTTTGGTTTTTTTGGTTTCCTAAACTCATTGTCACATTAAGATCCCTTGGGACTTGAAAATAAAAAAGATTCTCAGTCAACTCTCAAAATACAGCTTCAGTTATTTGCAGGTGGGACCCTGAAATAACCTGGGACCGTTTTCAATAAAAAGTGCTGCATCCTCTTAGTCCTCAAATCGACTTGGGGGATACACTGACCTAATTCACATTTTCTAGTATAAAGCAGCTCTCAATGATTCAGACGATGCAAAATTGTAAAGTATAAGGAAGGAGAGGACACAAAGGTGGGAACAAAGACAGGAGCCATAGAAGGCGTGCACAGTAACCTACAGATGGAGAACATATAAACATCCTGTCTCCCCACCTAAGTTCATTGTTCTGAGCAGGAATTCTGGATGTCCTCTTTCAATCAGACTGTGCTGCACTACTGCTCGCCTGGCGGAGTCCCCTAAAAGTGATGAAATCACCCCTCTATCCTGCTCTTCTCTGCTGCATGCGCTAATATGGCCGATTCTTTCTCTTCCTCCCAGACCACATTCTTCCAGCTCTAGGGAAGAGGCGCAGTACTGGTCTTAGCTGCTCCAGGAGAGACCCCATCTGGAGCTGGGAGTATGTCCTACCCATTCCCTCAGGCTAAGCCAGCAGCAGCTGTGTGGCTGGGGGAGGGGCGGACTGCGACGGTGCTCTGCTCAGATTTCAGCTGGAGGCCATCTTTGGCAGGGCTTTTGAAGGGCAGTGCAAGACAGCCTAGCATGGAGAGGAGAAAGCAAACAAAGAGATGAGACTTTGAAGACCAGTGGTCATCAGGAAGCACAGTTTCTTCCGCAAGAAGCAAAGTTGTGCTTTTTGTCAGCTCTGATCCATAAAATAGACATGTGAAACATGTAACATAAAAGTTCAAGGAAATCTCGTCTATCTAGAACTCAGCTACCCAACAGCCTTGTATTCCAAAAACACAGCACTGAAGCTAAAATAATTTTTTGTGAAAAGACCCAATTAACCCGCTTATGAGATAGAACATCTGTCTCTGCATCACATATTTGAAAGTTGATCCCTTTGATGCCCTCAGTCTGTCTACTCATTCTTATGTTAGAGAGTTCTGAAATGTTTTCTAATTTGGTTTTTGAGCTGCAGCGAGATAGAGAGGAGGAGGGGCCAGTAAGTAGAGTCAGGCATTGTCAGGAATGAGCCACCTCAGACCAGTGCAACTTTCATGACGAAGAAAACCACTGAGCAGCAAACACTAACTCAGGGTTGAAATAAACAGCTCAATACACCTCGTTTGTCATAAAAGACGTTGAATTACAGAAAAGTAATTGATCATCTATCATCACCCTTAATTTCTGAGAAATGTCTTGATATGTTTAATGTTCTAAGTAATAGTGGCATATACCACTTCAGAAAGGGTTTTATTCAAAATGTAAGTTTTAAAAAATCTAGTGCTTTAAGGGATATGCCTCCAACTATCCAAATTGAAGGAGCTCTGGTGGCAGAGTGGCTAAGTGTTTAGCTTCTAACCAAAAGATTGATTCAAACCCACCAGCCACTCTGAGAGAGAAAGATGTGGCAGTCTGCTCCCATAAAGATTACAGCGGTGGAAACCCTGTAGGGCAGTTCTGCTCTCTCCTATAGGGCTGCTATGAGTCAAAGCTGACTTGGTGACAAGATCCAATATAAAAATTTTATTGTACATGGCTTTTCTTAGTTCTCTAAGTGGGTGTACAGAGAGGGCTTGTGATTAGCCTGTCCATAACATTGAAAGGGTAGAAAGTCCCATAGTAGGATATTAGCAGTAATAAACATTAGCAACATGTATCGAGCACTTCCTGGGTGCCAAGTGCTGTTTTGATCCCTGTTATCTAATTTAACAAGTAATGGACTCATCATAATAATGTGATGTTCATTAAACTGAATCCAAATTTGATGATCTCAGAACACCGTAGAAAAGGCTAAACATTATTGTTTGCCATATGCAGAAATGGAAGGTTTGAAGAAGCTAAAATTTAGGAAACTGACTGAGGTATGTGGCAGGGCAAGAAGTGCAACCCAAGATCCTGATGACATCCTTCTCTTTTTCTCAGTTACCATTTCTCCTGCTGCTTTGCATAATGGTCATGTTTCCCCATCTTTCTCCTTTCCCCTCATCCTACACTCCTTGCCCAGTGACCACGTAGTATTACTCTCTTAATCCTAATCTAAAAATAGCAGACTTGTTTGTAGGTTAGTTTAACTTTAAGTGGCAACCATCAAGTAAAACTTCTTGGTGAAAATCCTTTTGAGCCCTTGTGATCTCTTAACACGTTGGACTGTTTCCATCGCTGTGTGATGTACTTTCATCACCTCCTATCATGCCTTGCTCTCGCTCTCTACCTGTCAGTCAACTGAATCTCTCCTCTGCGGTATTCCTGTCAATATTCATAGAACAGGTAGGTGGCCTGAATTTTAATTCTTTGTGCAGGTTCTGTTTCTTTGGAAGTTTGCACCCCCTGATATATCAGCTTTGCTTCTCACCATCACTGAATCTAGGCCCACAAAAGTGGAGTTAAAGGGTCCCCTGAGCACACATTTTCTTGAGGTTTCTTACATGTTTAACTGCATCATGATTTCATAAGCCTACTCTCAGTCACTGTGCGCGTCATCACTGCAGGTATGCAGCTGAATTATGTGAGTTGTTTGCTCACACCTTTTCAGGTCATAAGAAAAGGAGACGTGCTTAGGCAGCGTCATCATCGTTCGTTCACTCAACAGTGATTCATTAGGCATCTGCGGTGTGTGCATTGTGGTAGGCCCTGGACTTCCAGGGAAGAACTAGACAGGAAGAGGCTGCTTCCATGTTAATTACATTCTAGATTTCAACCAGGAGTGTGTTTGCTGTCTGGGGGACATTTACCAATGTCTGGAGGGAGGGGGTGCTACTGGTATCAAGCAGGTAGAGACTAGGGATGCTGCTAGACATCTTACAATGCACAGGACGGCCACCCCCACCCCCCAGCAAAGAATAGAGCTGAGATTAAGAAACTGTCATAGAAAAAGGCAACAGGAAATAAACTAGAAATTAATGAACCAGATAATTTCAGATGGTGATCAGAGCCAGGTGGCCACTTTCAAGTGTATGCGTTCTAATTTGTCCTCCCTGTGGGGATGCCTTTTTGTAATAGGTATAGAGTCCCTGTGTGACCTAGAGCTGCCCTGGCTTGAGGCAACATAATCGCTGGATTTGCCTTGGGGTAAGGTATCTTAAATTGGATGGCAAGAAGGACCTGCCTGAGGAGGAGTTGTTGTTATTATGTGCCTTGGAGTCAGACCTGACTCATAGCTACCCCTCTTTGGGTTTCTGAGGCAGTATCACTATGGAAGTAGATTGCCTTGAGGAGAGGATGTTTAAACTGAGTCTTCTATGACAAGGAGGAGCCTTGTAAAGACCCACCACCGAACATCGCAGGCAGAGAAAATAGCAAGTCTAAAGGGCTAGGGACAACACTGAACTTGGTGTGTGTAAGGAGCAGGAGACGTCAGGGTGGTTAAAGCACATTGAGCAAGGAACAGAGTATAGGTCCTGTTGAGGAGCTTGGATTTGATTCCAAAGCCCTTGGAAGAGTTTAAGCGGGTGCAACAGGACATGCTTTGTTTTTAAAAGACACTTCTAGCTGCTCAAGAATCACAAACGTAAACTTCCTCCCACCACCACCAACCCAATGCCAGGGTTTGCATCTGGAAGAATTTGGAGCAAAAGTCTTAACATGAACCTAGATTCTTTTTTAAAATTAATTTATATCTGCCATTTGGATTAAAAAAAAAAAAATCTGTGGAGTATTTCTGCTTCCTTCGTATGCATCAGGTAAAATGCTTTCAGTAAAGTAATTGCAAGGCAGACTCCCAAGAAAGGCTGCCAAACCATCAGAATGAATGAATGAATGGAACAGAAGTGGAGAAGGCTTGCTGTCCTCTCTGTGCTTTCCACGGTTGGAATTTCCCAACTCTTAGGTCCGTAAACTGAGGCTCTGGGTTTTAGAATGGACATGCAACAACTGAGTAATTTAATAGCAATACAGCAGGCAGGAAGGGATTGTAAAAATGAAGAAAAAAAAATATCTTCCCAGGGTTCACTTGAGAACATATGCCCTGTGATTCCCAACCCTCTCCATGTACCTGAATCCCCTGGGGACCTTTAGGAAAAAAATACAGATGGCTGGGACTGCATTCTTGAACAGGTGAATCGGAATTTGGGGTGGGGGGCAAGCATGAGTGTCAGTATTTTCTAAGTTCCTTAGGTTTTAAGTTGTAATGTGTAGTAAGGATTGAAAACCCTGGCTTTATGGAATCTCAGTGACTCTCAGCTGGTTTGGCCTAAATGTTTTGGATATGTTACTTTCCAGGATAGCATTGGGCAGCTGGAGAATGATCTGAGGAACACCAAGAGTGAGATGGCTCGCCACCTTCGGGAATACCAGGACTTGCTCAATGTCAAAATGGCTCTCGACATTGAGATAGCAGCGTACAGGTAATTGAAAGGGCTTGCTCACCCAAGTGGATTTAGTCACCTTGGGCAGTGCTACCCAAAAGAGTGATTCTGGTTTCTTGGTTTCTGAGAAATGAGGAAGGACATAACTGGTGCATTCCAGATAAGCTGCCCGTCTCTGTCCATCTAGGTGGATACATCCCAGCTTCACCTTACTAGTCTTAGAGTATTCTAAGTATCCCTGCCAAAGATGTAAGGGGATAATATGAGTAACAAACCAAAAACCAAACTCACTGCCATCAGTTCTAACTCATTACAACCCCCATTGAGTTTCCAAGGCTATAAATCTTTACAGAAGCTGATTGCCTCATCTTTCTTCCTCAGAAAGATCATATATGAGAGTTTGAAATAAAACCCATCACACTATCTTGAAAAACAGGGCTTATACAACATAGAACATTCTAATGGGTAAGGCATCCCACTTCTCCTAAGGCAATACTCAGTGAACATTTACCTGAAAATAGTAATAACAGCAGCTACTCTTTTTTTTCAATGACTACTATGTGCCAGGAACTGTATTAGGTACTTCATAAACGTTTTCTAGGTATCAAGTCATTTTGTTCCCATTAAGCACAAGAGGAAACTGAACCACAGATTTTGTGACTTGCCCCAAGTCATGTTGTTGTTATTTGCCATCAAGTCATCCCAACTCCTAGCGACCCCTCCTTGGGTTTCCGAGGCAGTTATCACTATGGAAGTAGGATTGCCCAACCTTCTGACAGAGCTCAGATTCAGCCCCAGGGCTATCTGAGCCTTTTTTCTTTGTTTTTGGGCAATCTACTTCCATAGTGATACTGCCTGGGAAACCCAAGGAGGGGTTGCTATCAGTGGTCCAACTATGAGTCGGTCCGACTGGACGGCACATAACAACAATAGCAATAACACACTACTTCAAAGCAAAATTTCAGGAGCATTTGATAGCATCTTGAGTTTCTCATTTAAAAAATTGATTAAAACTCTTGAAGTTATGAAAAACAAGGTATTGGGGCCACTCTTTCATAGTACTGTTTAGGCCAGACTGAGAAAAAGTCTGCTACCTGTAACAGTTTCATTTATTGGTTATTTGTTATGGCTGGTTCCCTTCCTTTTGTTCCACCATGTGTTGAAACAGTACCAATCTCAAATTCAAGAGGAATGATGCAGTTCCTCCCTCCTTTGTGGGCTTCTCACCTCTTTATCCCAGTTACATTTGAGGTGTTAATTAGCTAAATTACTTCTCTAGAGCTTCAGAGCCTCTTGAATGCCAATTATGGGTGTGATTTGCAAGGAAAGTTGTGTTTCCCTTTGACAATGCTTTCAACACAAGTGGTGCTGAGGACTCTGTGTGTGTGTGTGTGTGTGTGTATATACATGTATACACAATGCTTTGAGCCTTGGAATTCAATGTTTATTGAATATTGAATATTTATTGAATATTATTTAGTATTTATTGGTCTCAGTCTCTCTAGAATGAATAGAGACTGGAGGGTTCTGTTCTGGGGGGAAAAAAACAATAGCTGCAGGTTGACTTCCTGAGAGTTTTCTCTGTTGGATTTGCAGGAAGCTGCTGGAAGGAGAAGAGACCCGTTTTAGCACCGGTGCATTAACCATTTCAGGGCTGAATCCACTTCCTAATCCAAGTTATCTGCTCCCACCTAGAATCCTCAGTTCTACAGCCTCCAAAGGCTCATCCACTGGGCTGTCACTTAAGAAAGAGGAAGAGGAAGAGGAGGCTTCTAAGGTAGCCTCTAAGAAAACCTCTCAGATAGGAGAAAGTTTTGAAGAAATACTGGAGGAGACAGTAATAACTACTAAGAAAACCGAGAAATCAAATATAGAAGAAAGCACCATTTCAAGCCAAAAAATATAATTCAGTTACTTAAAAAAAAAAAAAAAGTTAATCCTTAAGAGGGAATAATATGCATTTGACTCGTTAAACAGCCTAATCTTGAACCAAAACACCTGTCACCACTAGAAAATGCCTTCAAGGCTTCAGTCTCATACTTAGTGTTGAATACTGTCTCTAATCAGAAAATCACCCCTTAGATCGGAGCCAACTGCAATCCTGGAACAGTCACAGAAGAATGGTCTAAGAATACAGCCTTCTCACCTACAGCTCAGGCTTCACAGCAGTAGATGATTCAGGTGCAGAGGAAGTACAAACTAAGGTGCTAAATCTGTGATCACTATTATTTGCTGTGAATAGAAATTAAAACCTGCATTCACCCACTCTACCCAGCCATATAAGCTCACTCTAGATAGCTGAAACATAACATCACTGCCAAAGATAAACCTATGGTTCACACCCAATGCTGCTCTGATAGAACTGCTTCATAAACGATAGGTGTTTGTGTGACAGAGATTCTCCCTCCCACCCCACCTCTGTTCCGTATGTCTTTTTCTTCCATCCAGGGAAGAAAAACAAAGAAAATGCTATTGTAGTATTCTTCCCTTTTAAATACATTTAGGTTCTTCTTAAAAGAGCTGACCCGGGTGAGCAGTCCCTGCTCGTTGGGTAAAATTAGATGCATGTTGACCATTTCTATGATTCGTGTAATGACTTACTCCTGCCCATTTCATGCCCTTATAATTCTCTAGGTTAAAAAAGAAAAAAAAGGCAGTGATGAGTTTTAAGGGTTGCCTCCAAAAAATAAATAAATACTAAAAAGAGTCCCTAGATTTTAGGCTTTGAACTTATTCAAATTCATTTAATTAGGGGAGAAAAATGACTATTAAGAATGTAGCTTTTCACCTTCACTTTAGAAGGACAGTAATAGTTATTCTGAGCTGTGATTAACCTGACCTTAAATTTAGTAGTGTAAGTTAGAAAAGGTGAGTATTTCTATGGAAAAAGCCAAGGTCTCATTTATCTGTAATCATTCATTTGTGGTGATATAGAATTAGCTCTTTCATGTTTTCACCCTTAGATAGACTGCACATTTCCCCTTCCCAGTAGTCAGGCCCTAGAGAGGCCTTGACTTCACTCTCCTATGCCATTTATGAATGCTAAGTATAGGACAACTTATCACCAGGACACACTGCTGCTGCCCAAAAGTAAAATATAATAATAAAACCACTTTTGGTCAATCAATACCACCAGCACATATAAAAAAGAAACCTTTCTCTTTTCTAAAAGAGTCTTTCCCCTACACTTCACATTGCTGCACACTTGGCAGAATCTCCTTTCCCTGCTGGAGAGGAAGATGTGCTCAGAGCAGAGGAGGGGTGCTCATGACCCTACTTACTTGCTAGGAAGTAGCTTGTGGAGAGTCACCTTCTCACCTGCCCAGCTGTATAGCACCTCCATTGCCCAGTCCTCCATGTTTGCCAAGTTCAATGTACGATTTATTCTCATCAGCAGTCATTCCAGCAGAATTAGGGAACGTCCCATGTCTATTACACATCTTCACTGAGAGTTCTAGATTGATAAGGACTGGATGCTTTTACTGAACTTTCTTATTCTAGCACATGCCTCAATAATTCAAGGAACTCGAAAAGACTTTTCTCTTCTTCCCCCTACCCTATTTCTCCTTTACTCCTCACTCATACTATAAGACATTAGAAAAATAAGAATTAAAAGTCACACGAATCCCACCCACATAATGTGTGTTCTGTGGTTTCTTTTATTTCCCTGAGAAAGGCCCTTTTTTTGGTTCAGAGAGACAACTACACCCCCAAAGAATTCAGACATATGTTCTCTGGGTTGTGCGTCCACATTTGGCTTTTCTCCAGCCAAAGACTTGGGGCTATGGTCTTCATTTGTTTCAGGTAGTCTTGTCAGCAACACATACTACACTAAGTGGACAATCTTAGGGCAGGGAGCAGGGAATCAATCAAATGATGAAAGGCAATGATTTAAGTGCCTGGACTGTGGTTTCATTGTTGTTGTTTGCCGTCGAGTCACCCCGACTCATAGCGACCCCTTTCATTAGCTTACCTAAAAAACATTTCTTGAGAATACACTGGCAGGAGGCATATGATAAAGAGTCCTTCAAAATAAGAGTCTTTTCCTTCCTTGGAAATGGAATATACCTGTAGGACCCAGATATTTAGGTAGAACATGGATGGTATCAATGGAATTTTCCTCTAATGCAGTGATTCTTAAAGCTTTTTGGATTACAGGTCCCTTGGAGAGCTATGAATCCTTTCTCCAGAACAGTACACATACACATAACAAAACTTTGGACAGATCCAGGACTTCTAGGTCTTCTATCTATCATGTCATCCAGAAGTCCGTGGATGCCAAGTTGAGATTTCTCTAGAGCCATGCCAGGTTCCAGCATGGAGACTGCAAATGAGGGAATATCTGGATTCAATTCACAGCTGGTGCTAACAGTTGAAGGTGGGGCTTGCTGAATCTTGTATGATATTATTCTCTTCAGTTCAGCTAGCTAGGAGTACTTGTATGACCTCAAAGATACATTGATGGTACTGCTGTTGAAGAGAGGTCTGTAGCCTTTCACTAACCGTAAGAAATATTCTCAGTACATAGGTTTGCAATATATAGATACTGATTACTGCATCTATGAATTCTGTTTGGTTTATGGGTCCTTCTATAAGCCAGACCAAAATCCTTTTGTTCATTTACATAATCTTTGGCTCTAATCTGTGTCTTTATCCTATTTTCCATGAGTCACCACTAATTGCCATGAAATCATCTATAAAAGAAAGATATTAACAGCATCTTGCAGATTTGATAAATTACTAATATCAGAACAATAGGTAACATGAGAGAGATGCTTAGAGAAGAGAAGGGAAGCAGGCAACATCAAGTGTTGTGAAAGAGACTGGATGTTCTGGTTCCCTGGTGCTGCTCTGACATGAATATATCACAAATGGGATGGCTTAAACAAACAGTTTATTCTTACATTTTGGAGGCTTTAAGTCCAAGTGCAAAGTGCCAGGCTCTAGGGGCTGGGTGAAAGCCCCTCAACCTTGGGGTCCAACTCTGCCTCCTGCTCCCGGCTCACTGCAGCGAGAGGCATTTCTTCACTCAGACAGCTTCTGGCTGCTGAGGCTGAGAAGCCCCAAGGTTGACAAATAAAAAGGCAAAGTCCTGATGTTACCAAACCACATGACAGGCCATTAACTTAAGTCCATTGTAAGTCCCAAGGTTGGCAGAGCATAGCAGGCTGCTGAGCAATGACACAGCTATGTGCAGGGTCCAAGCGTGCCATAGGCTAGAGCCATTCCCACGGCTTCTCCTTATATACAGGAAGAAGACCATATCCCAAAGGCAGCTTACTCAGCTGCTTGTGGTAGATCCCACCATGGAGTTGACTGCTAATCCCATCATGGGGAATAACTACCACCAGCTGCCCAGCCACTCAACCAGGCCAGCCAAGTTGACACACAAACATAACTACCACAACGGACAACAAAATGAACCTCTGAAATTGTAGGAAAGCCCATCTGCTCAGCATAATAACTTTCCAATTCATCAGACAATGAGATCCTCTGCCTCCTGAAACATTTATTCCCAATAGCTGTAGTTTATTCATTATCTGCTTACTATGTGTCAGACACTGTAGTAGGCAGTAAACAATTCTCTCATTTGAACCTCACTACTACTCTTTGGGGGTAATATTTGTATACCCGTTTTACAAATGAGGAAGTGGAGCCTCAGAGTGACAAGGTTAAGCCCTTATCTGATGTCACACAGAAAATGTCAGAGCTGAGATTTGAACCTTAGTCTTCTGACACTATAGTACTTGCTTTTCTCCCCTAAATTGCCTCTCTATGTAAAAGAAAGTCCCTTCACTTGCAGGAGTAGAAATTTTTCTTTTCATGTTCTTTTTCATCCCTTGGTCACAAGGTTTCACTTAGAGCTTTTGTGCCCCAGAAACTCTTGGCAGCATCAAGTCCCCTAGGCAAGCTGCTACGTTCCACACACTTCCTGTGTCTCCTGCCCTTCTATGTTGCAGTGAGGCAGAGGCAGCTCAAAACTGGGCTCTTGGCCCATACAACCCTGAGTCACCTCTGCTCTGCTGAAAATTAGGTGGAATTTGGGTGTTATATCCCTGTTACAAAAGAGAGGGCAGGGTTTCTTTTATAATTTTGCAGAGTAATTCTGTAGCTTCTTATCAACCAAACCAAAACCAAACTCACTACCATCGAGTCGAATCCGACTCATAGTGACCGCTCCTTGGGTTTCTGAGGCCGTATCGCTACGGAAGTAGATTGCCCAATCTTCCTTCCGAGGAGTGGCTGGTGGGTTTGAACCACCAGACTTCTGGTTAACAGTCAAATGCCTTAGGCACTATGGCACCAGAGCTCCCAGCTCATTATCAAGGGGCCTAAAAATGAAGGAACCTTACAGAATGGACAATTTCTCGAGAAGTACTCAGTCCAGGATATTTACAATCCATTTTACTGCACTGGCTAAAGAGAGGTGCAAGATGTGAGCAATTGTCTGGAAGCCAGAGTCTAAATCTCAGATCCAGGAATAAAGCAAATCACAAAGTGTCCTGGGGATTAAATGGAATTTATCTATGAACCCAAGCAGGGAACCACTCATGGTTCTAAGAGCAAATATGAAGCTATGTCTAAAATTTATTTAAAAGTCCATTGGTAAGGACTTTATAAAACCATCAGAAAATATAATCATGGAAGTGTACTGCTTCAGGTGAGGCTACTGTGTGCAGCCACCCTTGGTCCATCCCAGTTAGAAGTCATCCCATTAGGCAACATAAATCACATCTCTGAAGAGTTTTGACTTCAAAACAGAGCCCAGAGAAAAGGCTAGAAATCTCCCTGGAAAGAAAGAACAGCTGGAAATGTTGCTTATTTATGATAACTGATTTCCAATTAATATTAATTTTATGATTGCGTTATCAAAAAACTCTAAGCTCCTGAAAACATCTAAATATAAGAATATTTATTTTCTTAAAACCAAATAAATGGGTGTACATGAAAACACTGTAATTTAAAAATGGAAATAACTACGATCTTAGGCCCTTAAAATAGAGCTCCTTGTGAAATTTTATTTTCCATTATGGACCACACACTGCTTACTGGCTTCGCTGCATTTTCAGATTTAATGACAGGTCAAATTAAGGTCAAATTAATGTCATCATACATTTTGCTGTTTTCAAACAGTTCAAATGGAGATGCCATTTGCAAATAGGATGAGTGCTCCTGGATCCAGCCAAACAAAGGCCTGTTTTTATTACATTACCATGCTCTGCTGCATGTCCTTGAAGAATAGAGAAAATGATTAGTATGTAGATCAAAGGGCTTCTCC